GAATGAGAAAGCAGATGCTGCACTGCCATTGGTATTGGAAAGTAACAAGAAATCGCGTACAGCAGCCCCTGTGATGCCAGATGAGGAGTCAGATGCTGAGCTTGACAGGTGTGGGGGCAAGAAACTGGTAGGAAATGGAAAAGAAATGGCAGGTTCTTAAGAGCAGACGTGGGGAGAAGGGAGCTGTTGGTAGCTGCATTTCTTGGCAAATCTTAGCTTTCTGACCTTGTTCAGCTGAGTGGTATGCAGCAGAATAGGACTTTGCGTAGGAAATTGCACGCAAGTATGTTAGTCAATAATTTAAGCAAAGCCCACATCGTGTACAACCATTGATTTTACGCCATTTGACTTAGATGCTTGTTTCCTGGAACTATGGATATATCTACCCATTGTAATAGTGGACCTGCCTTATTCTGTCACTTTAGCAATATATAAAGAAATCTCAGGAATCGGCTTCTGGTCTCTTGGTCACCTGGCTCCATCTGCACTTGACCAGGAGATCCAGTCCCAGATCTCGTCACAGAACTGCTCTTTCACTGAGCTTCAGAGTGAGTCATAGAACTTCCTAAGGAACCCTTTCAGGCCAGGCTTCAGCAGCGCTGCTGGGTGATGCAAGAGTGATGGTGTTCCGGCAGTGTATGTGCTGGTTCTTTCCTGTTTGTGTCTATAGCTGGGGAAAGGAAGAACGTCTATACCCCATAGACTAACTCCTGCCTTTATTTCTTTTACAGTGATGATGACCTCATCCCTTATGACATGTCAGAGGATAAAGAACTGAAGACTAAGGCTCCTGTGTATATCCGAGACTGTATTGAAGGTAGGAGATTTTGGGCTGTGTCTTTATCTGTTTCTTACTGGGTTTGGGAGAGTGATCTCTGCGTAGGGTTATTTTTTTCTGAGCTAATTTGAAGAAGCTGTAGGATTTCAGTAGTCTGGGCTAAAGTGTTGAGCTGTAATTTTGGAGTAATTTCAGTTTAGTTCCTAATGCTGGTCATGCGCTGGGTCAGTGATACTTGCCTATAACAAGACAAACTATTGGCCGAGGAAATGTGGGGGTATGTACCCAAGCACAACCATTCTGTTAATAGCTTTTGTTTGTCTTTTGATTACCTTCAGTCCTGACAGGATCTGAAGATCTGGACAAATGGGAAGCTACAGTCAAGGCTCTTGAGAGCTTGGTTCGAAAGAATCCAGCAGCAACAAGAGAGGTGAAGTAGTATGAGCTGAGTTACCGGTGGGCTGTAATACAGGATTATCCCTTTGCCCTCGTGAGGAGACTAAACATGCCAACAGAGCAGCAGGCTAGGCTAACGTGTGCCTGGATTTAAAGCTTTCAACTCGGGAAGGGAAATAGAAGGAAATAGTTGCTTTGGAGGTGAGGCTACAGAGCACAAAGGAACAAAGAAGCAGGCAAAGGTGCTGGCAACAGTATGGCATTTAGCAGCTCCAACGCTGAAAATGAAATGCGTTGCAAGCAGAGCTTGCCCGTAACGTGAGGAAGCAGAGGAAGCTCCATGCTTTGTGCTGGGCGGAAAAAGCATTAGAAGTGCAGTTTATAGAGCAGCCACAAATTCCACGGACCAATTGATTTTAATTTTGGATTTAATTGGTTTTGAATTGAAATTTAATTTAATTGTTGTTCCCCCCCAAAAAGGGGTATAAAATCAAACGGACTTTCCCTATTTGCTTGTACAAGTATAACGTCCTCCTGAGGGAGCAGTTGGATTGTACTGGTCAAGATGAAAAGCTCAGGTGAGAGGAACTTGGGACAAGGTCCCCGGTGTGATGAGTGCTCACCACCACTTGTTGGGGAACACCTGAATGTGGCAGAGAGACAGGCCTCTGCCAGCGGAGAAGGGGAGGGGGTGTAGTCTGGTAAACAATGCACAATCTGCTGCTCATCAGACATGTCACTGAGCTGGATGGGCTTTGGGTGTGGTACTGTCCCCTTTAACCCATCAGTTACAGTGACAAGTCCTCCTCTGTCATGATGCCACCACTTGTCCAAAAAGCCAAAGTGAATGGGGACAGAGAAGTTGGCATAAGGGTTTGTTCAGTGTTTTGAGAAATCTCTGGATGGCATTTAGCTTAATGTGTTTTCTCTCCCTCCTAAGTAATGGACATGTTGCCTATATTCCATACCCTCATTGTCTTTGCTCAAGCGTTAGAAATGCTGTGTAAATCCTGTGAGGGGAAAAAAAAAAAAAAACAAACCACTTGCAGGGATTTGATTCCTTTTTTCATATTTTGAGCAGGTTAGCGTGGAGCTGGCAAAAATATTATTGCATCTGGAGGAGAAGACCTGTATTGAAGGCTTTGTGGAGCTCCGTCAGAGAGCTCAAGTAGCTGTTTTAACCACAGATCCAATACCTGTGAGTTCCTCTTATTGCTTTCCTTTTTCCAGTTGAGACACAGGTAAAAATTTAAGCAGCTGAAGTCTCTTGCTAGCTTGATAGAAGCAGCTATCAGTGTGGTAGAATAGCTAGTTCATGTCTACAGCATTTATACAGAGATGGGCTATGTACTGAAAAATCTGCAACGGATGACTGAAACAACAGGAAAGAGAAAACTCTGTCAGAGCTGCAATGGACTGGAGGAACTGTTTGGATGCTGTTAGTATGAGTATACCTGACAAGGCAAATTAGATGAGGACTTATTGCGCTGAAGGGGAGATTGTTTCACATAGAGGGAAGCTGAGGCACAAAGGGCTTCTGCAGAAGACGACTTGACTGGTGGTTGTAATTGTAGAATCGCAGAATGGTTTGGGTTGCAAGGGGCTTTTAAAGATCATCTACTTCCACCCCCCTTGCTGTGGGCAGGGACATCATTCACTAGAGGAGGTTGCTCAAAGCCCCTCCGACCTGGCCTTGAACACTTTTTATGATGGGGCATCCACAGCCTCTCTGGGTAACCTGTTCCAGTCTCTCACCATCCTCATAGCAAAGAATTTCTTCCTTATGTCCAATCTAGATCTACCCTCTGCCAGTTTAAAACCTTTACCCCTTGTCCTATCAGTACAGGCCCTGGTAAAAAGTCTCTGTCCATCTTTCTCATAAGCCCCCTTTCCGTATTGAAAGGCTGCAGTAAGGTCTCCTTTGAAGTGCCAAAGCTGCCGTGGCAGTTGTTTGGGTTCCTCGGCACAGGAGGGGGAGAAGAATGGCCAAGTCCTGTTTGTCACTTACTTCCTTTGGGAGAATCTAGAAGTGGAAGGGTCTGAATTTCCCCTGTTTGCACAGCGTGTCTCTTGCCTTCTCTTGGAGGCTGATTGTTAACTAACAGGAAGCAGGACTCCCCCTGAAATGCAGTGCTTCTAGAATTAGTGGGAAGGCTGTTTCCAGCCTGGGTTTGTGTTCATTCTGCCTTGATTTTTCTGCACAGGTAGCAAAGTACTTGACCTCCCAGTTCTACTCTCTGAACTATAGTCTTCGTCAGCGCATGGACATTCTCGATGTAAGTGCTCTTCTCTTCGCTTCCCACTTTCCTTGTGTCTTTGTTGCACCAGTGCTGTTTCCCTGAGATGTAACGGGGTTGCCTTCTATTCCTCGTAGGAGGAGGCAGAGGCATGGAAATCTCTTACCTTAGTATTTGTGCCTGGCATTGCCCTCTTGTTCATAACCGTGCTACGCTCCAATTATACAGCGATCCTTCCCCACAGAATGCAACACATACGATGGTCGTTTGCCTAGGAGAAGCCGCTGTTCCCTAACACGTCATCAGTCTGTGTTATCTTCACTTTCTGAAAGACAGTGATCTGCCTGTGACGACTCCTACATAATTTCACTTACGGTGTCTGAAGGAGCCACTCTGCTGTTTCAGGGCTAAGTGACCAAGCGGGGTCAGTACCTCAGAGCCAGTTGGTGGTTCGGGGGTCGGTTACCTTGCTGTTCTTCATTCTAAACCTGTCGTGCCTTTCTGCCTTGCTGTTCCTGTCAGTTTGGGTGCAGGTAACTGTTGTTGTTGCCTAGTACAGCGATTACCCCTTTTTAACAGAACCTCCCTCTTTTTCATCTAGATATTGGTTTTGGCAGCTCAGGAACTGTCCTATCCCAAATCCCATGGGAAGACCAAGCATTCTGGTGCCCAAAAACCTTGTATCCAGCTCCTTCCTGGAAGTGACAGCTCTAAGGACTGGAGAAGAATTGTTGATGAGAGGATCAAAAGCAAGACTCGGAGATTTGCTATGGTGAGGCCAGGGCAGAAACAAACTAAGGTCAAATCCAGGAAGAATAGGAACACTAGGAGCTGCTGTAGCTCTATCCGGAAAGAGCAAAATACCTATGAAATTGGGCCCAATCCAAAGGAAAGACTGTGTAACTTCAAAAATAAATTTATCTTAGTATCTGGCTGAATCTTTCGGTGCAGAGTACCAACTCCTGTAGTCCTCTCCCGGCAGGGAGAGGAAAATAAACATTGAACTCTTGCCTTGCATTGAGGGATAGTTATTGCTGTCCTGTGCTTGTTCTGAGCTTGTCTGGCCGCTGCAGGGAGCTGTGACTGCACCTCACAGATCCCAGAGCCTCCTCCATCAGACGAGCTGCCTCCGGACTGGACTGTGTCAGCCTTCCTATTTTTCAGGGAGATAAATTGATGCCAGTTTCCTAGATCCCAGAACTCCCCTGTGGATAATCCTGGAGAACTTGCTTTCCAAAACTGCTTTATCCATTGCATGTTCTTGTTTCTTATATCTAACCCAGCAGTACTGAGCTATATTTTACTGAAATACTTAGATGTGTGAGAGGATCTGAAGTGAGAAGTGAGCCATCCAGTCTGGAAACTAGTAGCCATAGGCGGACAAGCAAGCCGTGGCTGACAGGGGGATGGCTGCAAGGAACCTATTGACAGTGGGTCCAGTGAAGTGGAAGAGTCGGGAGCTGCGTCCTGTGTCTAGACTTCATTTTTCTCTTGAACAGGGTCAGTCTCAAGTGGAACTGGCTTCTGGCCCAAATGAGTTCAATTCTGTTGCTGGGCACTTCTTTTTTCCATTGATTCAGCACTTCGACAGGTGAGTGTGAGCACCTTGGGATGTGGGCCTGGCAGCTGCCAGAGCGAACCTTTCTGCTTGTTCTGCTTGCCTCAGAGCAGCAGGCTAAAGCCCAGCACCTGTGCGGGAGTCTGGTGACACCACACTGACGCCTGGCTCGTGCATAAAGCTTAGAGAGGAGGGGTTTGTGGTCTCTTGGACTTACCCTGTGGAGTCTTGTTGGGCAGGAGTATGTAAGATGTGAAGTGAAGGTACATTATGAAGAATAACCCATCAGCAGGTACACAGGTGGATGATTTTGGCAGTACCAAACCAGTTGTCTCGGCTGACCCTTCACCTTGGGAGGCTCACACAAAACACCCGCAGAACTCGGACGGCAGTCTTTAACCAAAGTTAACTGTCTCCGGTTTGGGCCTGTCGCCTGGACTGGTCCTTGTGACCACATTGTAGGACACGGGACACAGTTTATTGTCAATCATTTAAGTCTTTGCTTACCTAAGGAAGGCTGAGTAATTGATTCCATGAGAATCAAGGTTCTTGTAATACCGGTCTTAATGGTTTGTTTCTAGTATGGCAGTGGTGCTAGCTTTTGCATGCAGTTCTTTCTAAGTAAAGCCTGTTGGTAGGTAGAGTAAGTGATGCCTGCTGTAAGAGTAGAGGATGTTACTGGTCTGGGAGCAAAGATGAGAGCAAACAGCTGTGGCCTGTGTTAAACTGGGAATGACTGTATCATGACTGTTGTTGTCGTAGGGATTCAGGCTTGTGGGGGACAGTTGGCCCTGCATAACCACCCTGACTGTTCCAAAGATGCACGATCATCCTTCTCACTGCTACAGGACTGTGTATCTTGCACTTGCAGGCCTTTGACAACATTTGATCTCCTGGGGGAAGATCACTTTGTCCTTGGAAGACTGGTCCACACTTTAGCAATCCTGATGTACCTGGCTGTCAACACTGTGGTAAGAAAGGCTGCACGAGCTTGCAGATAGCAGGAGAGAGTTCCAGCCTGGGAACTCAGAGGTGCCTTCTGAAACAGCAGTGTGCCCTGGGGCCTGCTGCCCTTAGACTGGCAGCAAGTTTGAGTCGCGTGTGCTGAGAGGTTGCAAAAAGGCCTGGGAAAAAAATGGTCGGAAGAGAGACATGGGATTCAAGACGCCCCTGCACTCTCTTTTGCTGCTTCTGGTAGAAAAGCTATCAATTTCTTTGGGAGAGTGGGCACATCATTTCACTTTACTGCTTAAGTTTCCTTATCTGTAAAATAAAGTTAATGGTAACCCTGATCTTCATGGCAGTGTATCTCAAGGTCCAGCTCTGTAGGGTGGCGTGAGTGTGAAGGTATTCAGTGTTTCTGTCATAACCCTGTTTTGCAGGCAGTTACGGCAATGGGAAAGGCACTGCTGGAGTTTGTTTGGGCTCTGCGTTTCCACACTGACTCGTGAGTTGTAGTTGTTTGCTTTCATTTTTAAAGATGAGCTGCGAGCCGGTCTCCAGCCATGGTTTGTCTTTGTCCAAGACGAGCGCCTGACTGAGAATATCCATGATTTAATGCATTAACTCTGTGCTCTCTTCCAGCCTTGTGTTCTTATGACTGAGTATTGCAAGAGCATGTAATGAAGGCATTGCTTTAGTGTCAGGCCAACGTATGAACTTGGCTAGTGTCTTCTAGTGCGGAGGTACAGTCGTTACCCATAGGAAGCATGACAAATTTCTTCATCAGCTATCCATGTGATAGTTTCATCTGTGTTTACTCAGGGAGCTTAGAAAACTTCAGGTTCAATTCCAGCATTCAACCCTGGAAAAAAATTAAGACATGTAGCCAAAATTCTGTAAACGTCCAGTTTCTGTTTTGATCTCAGACTTGTCCAGGACTCGGACCTATGCTGGACTCCCTGCCCCACAGTATGGTAGGGGCTCTGTATGTGGGCGCTCTGCCAGCTGGTGCGTGATTACACTCCTAATCTGTAGGAATATGGCAAAAGTCAACATAACCACAAACATTTGAAACTGGAGAACCCCTGAGGTGAGGAAATCAAGGTAGAGCACGAAGCTTCAGGCTCTAACCAGTTCAGTCTTTCTCCAACAGGTACGTGCGCCAGGGTCTTTTGTCCTGTGTCTCCTCCGTGCTCCTTGGCGTCCCGGCGGAGCGTCTTCTGGAAGACATGACAGAAGAGCTTTTGGAGACGCAGTCCTGGCTGGGAGGTAGGATGTGGTGGTGTACGCCAGTGTTTTTCTGGTTAGCGGTGCAGCCTTTGTGCAGCATCTCTGTAATTGTGATGATAGCAGCGATGTCCTAGTGTTGTGCACCAAAGATTTGCATGATAAGCATATTTATCACTTGCTTGTAAGTTTAGGGCAAGGACCAGACCGCACTGTGTGCTGTAGAGGCGTTACTGAGGTATCTGAAGCATAAGCTGAGAGCTATGTACGGGCCAATCAAAAAAATCCCAAAATATATGATGTGCCCCCTTTCTCTGTCTAAGCGTCCAACCACCCACCTCGTGAAGCTGCAGAAAGAATTGCCATATTGCATGTTACATCCAGGCGGTGACTTTGGCCAGCAGTAACATACAGGGCTGGTACGGCCCGTTCACACCACCTGCACAGAAGATGGGTTTCATTAGTGCTAAAAATAGGAGGAAGAAGAGCATGGGCCCATCTCCTGACTTCCCGTTGCTGATGGAAAGAACGACCTGTGAAAGACAGCAAATGACTTTGCATGCTGCACCCAACGCACCTTGCATCAACACAAGGGTTTGTGGGTTCTGGCAGGCTGGAACTGTGCAAATTGGCGGTCAGGTATCGCCGTGTGCTGGAAGTACAAGAGGAACTAGCGTTCTCTGCGCTTTGTTGCTCTGAAGCCTCCCCTGTGTTCTGAGTGGACCTCATGCAACTCCCTGCGTTGGCTTCCTTCACCATTCTCCCTCCTGGTGAGCTGGCTTCCCGCAGGAAGCAACGCTGCCGCAGCTGGCCTCTGCTCCTCCCAGGCTGTGGAGCTCTGTGCCCTTGAAAAGGGAGAGAGCTGCCTTGTGGGGCCAAAAATGTTACTTTTCCCATGACATGGTGTGCTCTGAGGAATCTGCTTGTCTCTGCAGTTAACGCTGCTATTACCAAGTAAAGCCTTTCCAGGAATGTTATAAATGTATTTTCAGCATGAGGGTCTGCGTAATCTGTTTTTATTGCGTTATTTTTGGAAGGAGGACGACAGAGCTAGTAGCATCTTTTCATGCCTGTAGGTAGTGTAATAGCCATCTCTGTACATGCAGCGCTTTTGCATGAAAACTGCCTGGTAGGTCCTGGTGGGAATGAGAGCAGGATAAGATCCCAGCTGTGCGTATAGTAGAGAAGGGGAAATTGTTGTAGGAGCCTTTCAGAAACCTTAAAGAATACAACTCGGCTCTGCGTCTGGTCAGGTATGATTTAAGTGCAATTTAAAAGTGCTTCTAGAGCTGCTTCCTGAAACACAGCAGCTTCTTGGGCTATGCCTTTGCGCTTTCTTTGTTGTACGATTGTCAGTAAAACCGCTGTCACAGGGAGGCACCGGGCTCCTCCTTGCTGCTCCAACAGGTGAAGTCAGGCACCAGACACCTACTTTTGTGACTGAATCGTGGTTTTTGAGCTAGCGGACTTGCTGTTGCTTCCTGGCTCAGCCAGACAAGATTTGCAAGTGGTGTCATGTATTGATGCACTGCTGTAGCTGGAACAAATGACAAGCTGTCAAGCATGCAGGCCTTCTACTACCGTGCCTAACGGCCAGGAGAAGTCACCGCTTTGGGTTTCAGCTTGGAGCATCTACGGTTCTCTTGCTATGGCTAAAGCACAATGAGGAACGGGGGGCTAGAGAATGTTATCCATGAAGCATTTCGCAGAAATCTACACATCTGCTCCAGTTTGTTGTTAGAGCACAGCCTACGCAGATTGCTGCTGGTCGTGTGTGACTATGACGGACTGTTCCTGCCCGCCAGCCTCTGGGCTGGAACTAGAACTATTCCCCTTAGAAAGTGTTTGCAGCAGGGTGTGAGAAGCTACTTCAGTCACTGTCACAGTACTGTCTACTTAGCGGATGCTTTGGGGAGAGAGGCTGGGATCCACCTTGTACTTGCCTGTCATTGCCCTTAATGCCATGCTGGGCCTGCTGTTGAGTAGCCGAATCCTTCCCGGGGGGGGGGAGGGAATACCTAAACATTTCTAGGAAACAGTTCCTTTGATTCCTCAGCAGCTGCCTTTGAGGGAATTCCCCACCCCTCGCAAGTGCTGTAGAGCTGTGTCATAGGTAAGTTTGGTTTATGTAAGGACCTGAACGATTCTCCGGTGCCCTGCGCCTCCCTTTCGGTGGCAGCAGTTCAAGATCCATGCTCCTGGCAATTAGAAACAGTGCCAACAGCGGCATCTCAGCTTCTGGGCTTGGAACCTCCTCCTTTTTGCCTTCTGTAGAGGGAGTATGGCAACACCATTGTGAAGCTCGCCCCGAGGTTATAAATAGCCCTACTCCCTCTGAATGAGTCATGTGTTTGGGCTGACAGTCCTGGGCTCTGAGCGCGCTGCTTGTGCGTACAGGATATCCTTGCACAGGCTCTCTGCTCTTCCATGCTCCCCCTGCTCAGACATCCTGCGCGCATCCTGGTTTTTACTTTGCAGGCCCATTAAGGGCCCCTGAAATAACAGCTGCTGGAAGCAGCTTCAGGCCCTCCCTTACTTGCCGCATAAAGTGCGAAAGCCCGACTAGTTTATCAGAAGATTCCTCTCAGAAGGGAGAATGTGTTGAAACTTGGGGCCTGCCTCCTTCTTTCCCCCGTTTGAAGGGCAGCGTGAGCACAGGTTTGAGGTGGGAGCACTGAGCATTTGTTCAGATTGCAGGAACTGGCAGAGTGGAGATTTCAGGCTTTCGAGTGAGTGGATTTCTGATTGCAAACTGCGTTCATGCTAGTGGATCAGCTGTACAAAGGGCGTGTATAGCTCAAGGGCACAAGTATAAATTCTGGCACGGAGGTGATCCCATGGAATGCAAGGTCAGACAGTTTCTGTAGTGTTTCAACCCAACTGACTTTGTTTCTGCTACAGGAACGAACCGAGCATTACCGCACGTGACAGTCGGGGCTCAGCTAAACTCATACTGCTCAAGATGATCGAGTTTGCGCATCTTTGCCTTCTGATCTAACAAAATTCCTGCAAGTGCTGATGTCCAGCCCAGACTTTGTTGCATTTAGTGCTGTTCTGTGACGGCCGATGGAACAGTGGAGAAGTGTTCGGTGAAGGGCGGTTTTCCCCATTTTTCCAACTAACAGTGGCTTCTTCTTTTACAGATGTGGTGGAGAAAGATCCAGATGGGGACTGCAGGAGGCTGGCCTTGCAGAACTTGCTACTAATGGAGAACCTGAAAAAGAAACTCCAAACTCTCCCTTCCTAGCTGAAGGGTAAAAGAAGTGACCTTTACCTCATCCTCTTGCCAGCTGAATGCATGTAGGCACTGCTGGGGCCGCTCCAGCAGTCACCTGGCTGGAGAAGAGGAAGAAGGGGGGAAGGGGTGCAGAGCTGTAAGCCAGCGAACCTGACTTGACATCTGGACTTTGTAGTGGAGGCCAATTTAGTGAGCTACTGCTATCCGGTACGGCGTGTACAGATGCAGGAAGGTAGGCGAGCGCTGCCATCCTCCCCACACCTCCCCAGCCCCCACCCGCAGCTATTTATAACCTTGGCAGGTTTGAGTGCTCTGCTAAAAATACAGGGAAGATCTCATAGCAGACTTCTTGTCAGAAAAACAGGAGGGCTGGAGAGGGCTGCTTACCTCCCAGGGCTGAGTCTGTGACACGTCCGTGACAAAGGCTCCCCCTCCTTCCAGCAGCCAGCGTTCGGTGCAATAGCTGTTGGTCTGCCGCTCGAAGGGCTGGCGCGGTGTGGGGAATGACACCGCCGACGAGAGGCGAGAACTGAATAGCTACACTGAAGTTCTGAAAATGTGCCAAACCTGAAAGGCTTGAGCTAGAGCTGTGCTGTGGTTGGGGAGGAACAAAGCAGGAATTCTTTTTGTATAATCTTAGTACAGAGATAAGTTTCTATTAAAGGATAACTAACATCCAGATTTTTGGCCTTAAAATTCCCCCCCCCCCCCTTTTTCCCTGAAAGTGTGCAATTTAAAAACTTCACCCCAAGTTTTGAAGCAAGTCGCAAAACAGGAAAAAGAAAAATCACTCTGAGCAGAAGAGCTGGTTGGTATGACACGTATGACAGTGACTTTATAAATACACCTTTGTGGGGCAGGGTCACAAAGGGGCTTAAAGGTGAGCAAAACCTCGGTTGCGTATGCTGGGCTTCACTTCTCATGGTCCTACTTGTGCCAGGGAAGAAATACGCATCCTAAAATCTGACTAGTACAGAGTAGCGTGACCCAACTGCAGTGTTTGGAAAAGCAGCTTCACAAAGAAGCTTCCCTGCCTCAGTGACACTGCTGGAGCAGGGAGGAGGGGACCAGAGGGCCCTTCCAACCCTGCCGCACGGTGATTCTGAGGTTTAGCCCAGATGTTCGTAAATGGTAGCTCCAGCCTGCAGGACCCTGTGAGGTACTGAAATACAAAGCTTTGGGCTGGGGGGAGTCTCCCGTCATTCCACGGTCGGGGAGCAGTTTAACTCTTACCCAGGCTCCTGCCCAGACGCGACAGAGATTGTTTTCAGAAGTTCTGACTTCCAGGGACTGACAAGTCAGCACCTCTGCTGACTTAGATCAAAGCTGTACTTGAAAATTTTAACTCAGGAGTTTCCACCTTAGTTACTCAGCTCTTTTCTGTACTCGGAAAAAGGCCTGAAGTTACAATATGCAGTTCTTGGGTTTTTTTTTTCCCCCTCAAATTTATTAAAATACTAAAAATAGCTTCATTACAGGATATACGTGTGAATCATTTGTATGTAGTGTTTGAGATAATGCATTAACTTCAATACTGTTGCTTGTACAGTCAAGCAGGACAAATAAATTTCTTGGTAATAACCAAAAAAGCCTTATCGCAGCAGCGTGTTGACGGATATACGACCCCTAATGAGGGCAGAATGAATGACCTAGTATTAAAGTCAGCTTGGTGTTTGGTAAGTGCAAGTTGTCAAGGGTCCTCCGCTTGGTCAGCCACTTCTTCCTCCACCTCTCTGTTCTCCATACTGCTGTGGCAGATTTGCTCTGGAAGCAGGGTTCGGCTTGCAGGGATGCCTGCTCCTCGGTGAACTGCCTCAATGGTCTGCTGCGTCACGTAGTAGGTCAGGTTCGTGGGTGGAATTCTCTTCTGCATCTCTTCCAGATACCGGTAAGCCTGAAGTAATGCGCAGAGATCGTTGTTATGGGAGGGGTACTGCTTATATGAGCCCCAGCAAACAGTGCAAAGCACCCACCCTTGCTGCGTGGCTGAGCTCTTGACAGGAGCTCAGTGTTGAAGGATGCTGACGCTTAGCTGGGAGTTGTAGCCTTTGCTATCATAGAATCGTTCAGGTTGGAAAAGACCCTTACGATCATCAAGTCCAACCGTTAACCCAGCACTGCCAACTCCACCACTAAACCATGTCCCCAAGCACCACATACACACCCTCGTCCAGATCGTTGATAAAGAGATTAAATGGGACCGGCCCCAGTACTGAGCCCTGGGGAACACCACTGGTGACCGGCCGCCAGCTGGCTTTGACTCCATTCACCACCACTCTCTGGGCTCGGCCGCCCAGCCAGGTTTTTATCCAGCAAAAGCCTGTCTAAGCCATGAGCAGCCAGTTGCTCCAGGAGAATGCTGTGGGAAATGATGTCAAAGGCCTTACTAAAGCCCAGGTAGATGGCATCCACAGCCTTTTCCTCATCCGCCAAGCGGGTCACCTTGTATAGAAGGAGATCAGGTCGGTCAAAGCAGGACCTGCCTTTCGTAAACCCACGCTGGCTGGGCCTGATCCCCCAGTTGTCCCACACATGCCGTGTGATGGCACTCAGGATGACCTGCTCCATGACCTTCCCCGGCACTGAGGTCAGGCTGACAGGCCTGTAGTTCCCTGGATCCTCCTTCCGGCCCTTCTTGTAGAGGGGCGTCACATTTGCCAACTTCCAGTCAGCTGGGACCTCCCCGGTGAGCCAGGACTGCTGGTGGATGATGGAGAGTGGCTTGGTGAGCACCTCCACCAGCTCCCTCAGCACCCTTGGGCAGATCCCATTTGGCCCCACAGACTTGTGCGTGCCTAAGTGGTTCAGCGCAGGTCGCTGGCCATTTCCCCTTGGCTTATGGGGGCTTCATTCTGCTGCCTGGCTCTGTCTTCCAGCTCAGGGGGCTGGGTGCCCGGAGAACAACTGGTCTTACCATTGAAGACTGAGGCAAAGAGGGCATTAAGTACCTCCGCCTTGATGACCTCTCAGAGTGACTTGTATCAATTCTATCTTTTTCAGTTTAAAAAAAAAGGGGTCCCAAAGGCTGGTTTTACAGCCTCCCAATAGCTGAAGCACTGTCAAAACAATGTGTTAAAGTAAGGTTCATCAGCACAGCTGGAGAAACTGGCACTTGGCATCCTTACACTTCCCAATAGTGGCAGGCTACGGTTTAGTCCAAACGCTGGTGTGTGTGGCACTTCTGCCCTGCAGAAGTGATTCACCATTTCCTCAAGTGACTGCAATTTTACAATTTTCTTTTCTTCTTTGTCCGGGTGACAAATAACGTACCGTGTAATTGCTGAGCCATGCGCCCCGACAGACCCTTCTGTTCCTACTGCATAACCGGGAACGCTTAAGAATCTGCCACCATTTATGCTCTATGTCCTGTGAGCTTTCTTTTTCTCTTCAGTCCCATGAAATGAAAAATACATTAATATGGATATAGTTCCTGAGGTCTCCCACACCCTGCTGAGCAGTTTAGCTCCTGTAAAGGAGCCTCTGCTATGGAATGTCTTCCTGTATGAGATGATAACCGTGCTACACCAAGCTGCGCCGGTGTATATAAAATACGGGCTCTGTAGATTGGAAGAATTAAGAATTAACTTACCATATGGAATTCCTCCACTTGTACATAATGTTCAACCAGAAATCCCAAGACATCGCCGTGACGGATGGCATTATCAAAATCTTGCTCAGCTAGGAGCAGTTCACACTGTCTGACTGCTTCTTTGGGGTCTTCAGAGTAAACTCTAGTAAAAGAGCAAAAGGCAACTGTTAACAATCTGGGGGAGAGCACTCAGCTTGGCATGTGAAAAACAGGGAAGATTTTTTTACTGTGTTATGTTTCATAATCGCCTTTCTGGCTACACTTCCCTTGGTCAATACACTTGCTTCTACTTCAGGTTACCTTTTCATCTTTAATGTCAACAGCACTTTTAAAAATCACGTAATGGTTTCCCTGCTAGAAAAGTGTAACAGCAGCTTTTAGAAGTGAGTCTGCAAATTAGTTCTTAAGCTGTAGGTACAACTTTTCTTCTTGTATGATATTTCTGTCATTAGTTTACATGCTCTGAATACGCAGCTCACCTCCGAGCGTGGATGAAGCGCTTAATCAGGGTCATCTTGCTTTGCAAATGTGCTAGTTTGCTTTCCTGCTCCAGAGGGCTTCTAGGCTTCGCTTTTGAAAGGCACTTATATGCTTCTGTCAGCGCTCCTTGTGCTTTCTCATAGTTCTGATACTCATCAATTTCTACCTGCCAGAGCAGAAGTGAGATGAAAGTCTTGCTCCAGAGCTAACAAACCAAACACCTTTAGCAGTCACAGAAGGGGGATGTACCTGAGCACATGCATCGTAGAAACCTGCCAACAGGTCAAGGGCCCTTCCCTTAGTATAGAAGCTAATGATGTTCTTCATAATCTCGGGGTCCTTACGCCAATCCAGTGATTGTAGATAGTTGGCTGCCATGATATAAATCTCTCTTTGTCTGGAAACTCCCGCAAAGAAGACAATTTTCTCGGTATCGCCAGATTTCAACAGTGCCCTCATAGCCTAGCAATGGAAAGGGGGGCACGGGGGAAGAGGGGGAAAAAAACCATTGTGAATGCAAAAACACAAGCTATGCTAAGATGGCTAGGAAGCCTTCTGCATAGTCTACTGTATGAAGACTGTTCCAAGATTTACTTCTCAAAACACCCTTGTTTTGAGAAATCTCAGGAAGGTAATAGGCTCAGCCTCTGCAGCTTTTTCTTCTACCTATCCAGGCTGACCTTTAACTTGTTTCCTGCTTGCGTGTATTTCTTGGTCGCCATGTGGTAATTGCCTTGTCTCATGCAGCAATCGGCGATTTGCTCCAACAGCTCTCTCCGGGACTCCTCAGAGAGGTCCGTGGAGTCCTTCGAGACCGTCATCTTCTCAGCCATCTCCTCTGTGATGGTCAGGTTCTGCTTCAGGCAAAGTTGCAGAGCTTCATGGTACTAATGGAAGTGGGAAAGCAATGAGATGTTGCAAACACTACAGTGATACTTCACATTGCTTGTGGTGTAACCTACGTCTGTTAGCTGTATGAAGGCACAAACGCCAGCAGCTGTGGATGCTCTATCTAGAACACTGTTGTGTACTCCTGTTCAAGCACACTCTGTCTCATTTTGTTCACTAAGAACGCATTTGGTCTTCCATGAAGACCATTGTTTCTCACCTGTTTTCTCAGAGGACACTCGTGTGGCACTAAAGATTCATCCATTTCGCCTCTTTGATCGTGACATTCTCAGCGACATACAAGTCAGATTTATTAAGCATCGTTGATTATATTAAGGTTTTCAGCAAATACAAATAAAATAAATACACGCATTTGAAAGATTTTGTTAAATATTTTGCTACTTCCCATAT